GCCCCACCCACGCACGCAAACCCACATGCCTCCTCACCCAAACCCACCCCGCTGCCAACCCAAACCAACCTGAACGCCCACCGAGACCCACCTGCCGGCCTATTCGAACCCACCTGCCCGCCCATCCAAACCCATCCACTCGACCACCCAAAACCACCCGCCCAACCACCCAAAGCCATCCCCCCAAACCAACCCAACCAACCCAACCAAGCCAACCAAGCCAACCAACCCGCCCAAACCAACCCGCCCAAACCAACCCACCCAAACCAAGCCCACCAACCAAAACCAAACCAACCATACCAACCCCACCCAAACCAACCCCACCAACCAAAAACCAAACCAACCGTACTGATCCAACCGAACTCACGCAACCAGCCCAGCCAAACCATCCAACCAACCCGCCAACCCGCCCAACCAACCTTCCCAACCACCCCCCCCCTAACCAACCCCCCTAACCAACCCTCCCAACCAAGTTTCTGCTTGGGGAAAACCAACCAAAGCTGTATTTAAAACAGTAGTAAGAAAACAAAAGAATTTTTATAAAGAAAACAAAAGAATTAAGTTTGTCACAACCCACCCAACCCACCCAACCCACCCCACCCACCCAACCCACCCAACCCACCCATCCTAGTCAACCCACTTAACCCAACCCAACCCAACCCAACCCAACCCAACCCAACCCAACCCAGTGACCCACCAACCAATCAACCTAACTAACCCAAGCAAAGCAAAGTGACCAAGCAAACCAAACAACCGAACCCAAGCCAACCGACCAAGTTGAACCCAGGCCAAGCCAAGCCAAGCCAAGCCAACCCAAGCCAACCCAACGCAAGCCAACCCAAGCCAACCCAAGCCAACCCAAGCCAACCCAAGCCAACCCAACGCAAGCCAACCCATCGCAAGCCAACCCAACGCAAGCCAACCCAAGCCAACCCAAGCAAACCAAGCCAACCCAAGCCAACCCAACCAAGCAAACCAACCAACCGAGCAACCAGCCAAACAAAGAAAACTTCCACGCACTCTTTGCATGTCGGCTGACAGCATCTCGGAAGTCTCATCTCCAACCGATGTCTTGAACATCCTCGCTCCTTCACTTATGCTTTTTGCATCTCCGAGAGAAACAAGAAGTTCATGGACTTTGGCCCTCAGCAGCATGTCCAGGTGATCCTCCCCTTTGACAGCCCGCCATCCCAGCCTCCTGCATGCAGCACAAAAAACCACCCACCTCCTGAGTGTACTACTAGACTAAGTATTGCTAGCAGTGGTAGTACTTGTAGACACAGTAGCACATACTAGCAGTAGTTGTCAGTAATCAATATTTGCTGTAGTAATAGTAGTAGATGTAGATGTGTGTGTGAAGTGGTGGTCCCCACTAGGAGCTAGTAGCAGTAGCTAGTTGTACTCATGTAGTTAGTAGTAGTCACAGGTGTAGTACTACCGTCCCCGATCGGTGGTCATTATAGATGTATTTGCTGCAACTTTCAGTCTAGATACAGTGATAATGACCAGGCGTTCTATTCGGGTGAAGACGGTAGTAGTAGCAGTAGTAGTAGCCAGTACTGTGGTAGTAGCTAGCAGCAGTAGCAGCAGCAAGTACTGTGGTAGTATTTAGTAGTACATGTAGTTAGTAGTACTCGCAGGTGTAGTACTACCGTCCCTGCCCGGTATAGCTGTATTTGCTGCAACTTTCAGTCTAGATACAGTGATAATGACCAGGCGATCTATTCGGGCGAAGACGGTAGTAGTAGCATTAGTAGGACCCAGTACTGTGGTAGTAGTTAGCAGCAGTAGCAGCAGCAAGTACTGTGGTAGTATTTAGTAGTACTTCGTAGTAGCAGCAACAGAGAGTAGAAGCAGTAGTAGGAGTAGCAGCAGTAGTTGCAGTAGCAGCAGTAGCAGGAGTAGTTTCCATAGCAGCAGTAGCAGCGGTAGTAGCAGAGCAGCAGTAGCAGCAACAAAGTACTGTGGTAGTATTTAGTAGTACTTAGTAGTAGCAGCAGCAGTAGTAGCAGCAGCAGTAGTAGCAGCAGTAGTAGGAGTAGTAGGAGTACTAGCAGTAGTTGCAGTAGTTGCAGTAGCAGCAGTAGTTGCAGTAGCAGCAGTCGCAGCAGTAGTAGCAGCAGCAGCGGTAGCAGCAGTAGTAGTAGTAGCAGCAGTAGTTGGTAGCAAGTGTTGTAGTAGTTGTTGTAGCAGCACACATTGCTACACGAAGACACAGATGTACTAGTAGTAGTGAGAAGTAGTGATATTAGATGCAAACGGAGTAGTAGCAGTTAGACTCAGCCACAGTAGTCAGAGAAGGCAGAGTGGTAATAGTAGTTATTTGTAGTCATAGTAGTCACAGTAGTAGAGTAGAAGGAGTGGTAGTTGTGGGAGAAGACGAGGAGTAAAAACTATAGCTGTCTCTCTGTGCTTTTTTTTGCAAAGTGCAAAATGAGTAAGCAGTGCGAGTAATGCCTAATAATATAATAGAAATAAAGAAAAATAATTACTAATAAAGAAATTTGAAAAGTTGGCGCTTCTCACCGCAGTGGATATCGCAGAGTGCACCCAGGAGAGATCAAGATGGTGCCAAAGAAAGACCCAGATGGTACCACAGTCGGAAAAGAAGTTTAAAGAATGGCACACACCTGGCTTGTCTACTTAGGCTAAGTACATGTTAATTGTTCCGAGATCCCTGGATGATGCAATGTGATGGCCCTGATGGGCCAACCTCTGCTTGGCATTGTGGTACTCATTTCATCTGGGAAGAATTGTACGTCAACAGGGGAGATAAATAGATAGATAGATAAATAGATAGATAGATAGATAGATAGATAGATAGATAGATAGACAGATGGATGGATGGATAGATAGATCGATAGAGATAGATAGATAGATAGATAGATAGATAGATAGATAGATAGATGGAT